ACAGAATCCGGAGCCCCGACCGGGACTAGAACCCGGTGTGCCAGCGCCGCAAGGCAGAGGATTAGTCTAGTGATACTGATTGCATTTCTGTAATAACTTTTGAAGTAACATCTTGATAGTAGGTACTCCATTTTGGAGAAACCAAGATGCCATCTTGAAAAAGCACCCCCACCATGAGATTTTGGTCTGAAAATATTATCTAAAACTCAGACAATAATAGTACTCGTACAATAACAGTATACTATATCCCACTTGGCAGAGCATAGAAACTCCCTAGCATGATTGCTCAAGTTTAAAACAGATGGGCTGCACCTGGATTAATGTTAAGGTTATAATTTTTCTATTATCAAGATTGTAATGGATATTAATTTTGCATAGGCCTTAGGTCAACTTGACTCTAGTAACCATCTATTCCCCCTCATCCTAGCAACCATGTATTACCCCTTCTGTCCTTGTGTTTTTTGCCTTTATAAAACCTGTTGCTTTAAGCTTCAAGGTTGAGAGTTCTTTAGGACATGAGTCTGCTCTCCACTGCAGGCAATAAAGGACCAGCAAATTATATCAATGTGTGGTGCTTCTCTGTACTCACTCAGGCAAAACACTTTCTTGGTGAGATCTCAGGTAGGATAGATTCAATGTGCATGTCATTGGGTTTTAGCAGTTGACTGCAGATTAAACTGCTATATCATTTCTTTATCTTAAGTAAATATTTTAAATTTGGACACCAATCAATTGTTATATGTATATATATAACTTTTCTCTAAAATTCTTTGGGAATAAAATATTTGTTTCAAATTCAAGTAAAATCTTATGCAAAGATTTGATCATTACTTGCCTATTTTGAGTATAAGGTAGCTGATGACTTGTGTGACTTTTCTCAGCACACCGTATTCACAAGGCAGTACTAGGTTTTCATCAATTTTATATGAGAAACAGGAATTCCTTACCAATTCTTGATTTAGGTTCCATTGACAAATTGTTCTGGTATGTTGGAGCCAGATTTTGTTGGCTTTGAGTGACAAATATTAAATTTTCAAAAGAATTTTTTGTCATTTGTGTCTTAAAATATACACAAAGGAGTATCTACACAATGAAGTATCTACACCGCCTACAGCCTACAGCTAAACTAAGCATCTATCAGAAAACCACAGCATTTTGCACTGAAGAATGTGGTTCAGGGAAGCCTCTGCTCATCAGGGGTCTTGTCTCATTGGGAGAGGGTACTGCATGCTTTGTTTGTTTATTTCTTCTCTCTACTCTTTACATCTTTATTACAAGCCTACAAACAAATTCTTTCGTTTAGATCCCAAATCCTGAAAAGAAATGTTTCTGCTTTTTTCTTCCCATATGATAGCCATTTCTTTATTCCTTTCCCCCCTTTCACAAAAGGGAGAAAATGTCATCTCCGTGATAGTCTATTCAGATGTAATTTTACTTCATTTATATACTTGGGATTTTGATTTTAGGCCCACCTGTAATCCTAACCTTGACGCAATGGCACTAAGTTCTTTCGTTATATGGAACATTGCAGCCTACATTCTGGGACTTTTTGTTTTATTTATTTTTTTGTTCTGTATGACCCAAGAACATCATTACATTCAAACTTTTCTTAGAAGAACTCGTAGAACTAGGCATATAGTGTAGAATATTCAGTTGCACCTTGTAGGAAAAAAATATAGATAGTATATTTAGCAACCCATTACCAGGCTTCCCTATACTGTTTCCTTCTCATAAAGGATTACACAGAACACATACTTTCCAGCTATGAGAATGCAACAACACATGAGAGTGAAATATTCCTCTTAAAGGAAGTTTGTTAGTGACTCAGTGCCTAGGTTTTTTCCTGCAGGTTTCATGATCTGAATGTGTTCTGGTAAAATCCTATTTTGAAATGCTAAAGCCATTTCCACTTAAGTATGCTGTTTGGGTGGGTTCTTCAAGAATGAGAGTAGTGCTAGTAGAAAACTCCCTCCCTCACTTTCATGTAAGTATACAATGAAAAGTAGGTAGTTTAGTACCTGGAGAAGGCACTCCCCAGAATCTAACCATGTTAACACTCTGGTTTTGGACTGAGATAAATAAATGTATGTTGTCTATAAGCCACCTGGACTATGGAATTCCTTCCAGGTTCCTGAGTTAATTGAAACAGGGTGGTTTCTGTAGGTATCCTCTGCCTAACACATACAAAAATTCTGGAATTCCAAAAGGGATGCAGCTGTAGCATATGCTACATTTACACAAACACTAAAGGCACAATCTACCAGCTCTGTTATTTACAGAATATAGACAACACACCCAAAAACTAAGTTCCCATATATGCCAAGGGCCAACCTTGAAAACAGGTTTTTCTAAGAAAAGCAGTCTCATGCCTGCTATATTAACCCATTCCTGAGTAATTTGTCTCTAACAGTCTAATTATAAAATATTTATATGAAAATTATAATGACTATATATCTAACAATCTTTATATATTAAGTATAATCAACAAGTTAGAATTGTTTTTTTTTAACTTTTACTTAATAAATATAAATTTCTAAAGTACAACTTTTGGATTATAGCAGCTTTTTCCCCCCATAACCTCCCTCCCACCTGCAACCGTCCAATCTCCTTCTCCCTCTCCCATACAATACACATAAAGATTCATTTTCAATTCTCTTTATATACAAAAGATCAATTTAGTATATACTAAGTAAAGATTTCAACAGTTTGCACCCACACAGAAACAGAAAGCATAAGATACTGTTTGAGTACTAGTTATAGCATTAATTCACATTGAAAAACACATTAAGGACAGAGATCCTACATGAGGAGTAAGTGCACAGTGACTCCTGTTGTTGATTTAACAATTGACACTCTTATTTAAGACGTCAGTAATCACCCAAGGCTCTTGTCATGAGCTGCCAAGGCTATGGAAGCTTTTTGAGTTTGCCAACTCCAATCTTATTCTATTGCTTTCCCAGGCCATAGCAGAGAGCTGGATTGGAAGTGCAGCAGCTGAGACTCGAACCAGTGCCATATGGGATGCCGGCACTGCAGGCGGCAGCTTTACTCACTATGCCACAGCACTGGCCCCTCCCGTGTCTTTCCTTAACTTTTTTTTTTCCTTAACTTTTAATTACAGTGATTTTGACATTAATTGTAGGTGTGCAATGCAAAATTGGTCACAAATTCTATTAAACTAGTTCATTAAATTCTCCAAGAGGATAAATCAAATGAATTAATTTTTTTATACTGAGAGATAATACACAATTCTGCAAAGCAGTATCTTATTGTGAAGGTTTGAGGGGCAATTTGGACTCTAGGGAATTTCTGGTTTATTCTCTAGCTTTAGGATAAAATCTCAGGGTAAGATTAACCCCTGCACTGTTGCCTATATCCGTATTTTCTCTTGCTCTTGTTGCCCTTTGGGATACCCAGGTTCCTGAATGAATGGTGTAGAATCCCATATACTTGGAGTTTTACCCAGATGCCTAGTTGTACCTCAAATTTGGAATTTGTTACCTCTTCACCTAGATCCTTATTCTTAGTTCTTTTATTTTTTTATTTGACAGAGTTAGACAGTGAGAAAGAGAGAGAGAGAGAGAGAGAGAGAGAGAGAGAAAGAGAGAGAGAGAAAGGTCTTCCTTCTGTTGGTTCACTCCCAAATGGCTGCTACAGCCAGCGCTGCACCAATCCAAAGTCAGGAGCCAGGTGCTTCCTGCTGGTCTCCCACGCGTGTGAAGGATCCCAAGCTCTTGGGCCATCCTCCACTGCCCTTTTGGGCCACAGCAGAGAGCTGGACTGGAAGAGGAGCAACTGGGACTATAACCCGGTGCCCATATGGGATGGCGGCGCCAGAGGTGGAGGATTAACCAAGTGAGCCATGGCACCAGCCCCTTAGTTATTTTCATATCTCAGTGCGTAGGTCAAGCTTGGACCTTTTTTGATATTCCTTGTTCTGCTTCAATAAACAAAACCATGGTTGACAATGTCAGAGATATTAGTAAATAAATAATACTACCACCACCACCATCATCAGGAAATGCCAGTAATGAGGGTCTTCTCAGAGGGCATTAAGAGATAGGCACATTCAACCCTCATACGAAAACATAATATTATTATTATCATCATCATTATTGTAATTTCTATTTTAAATATTTTAAATAGAAATTACAATAATGTAACTTGCCTACATTTATGCAATATAGTTTGTAGCCACAGAGGAAACAGGTAGACTTAAACTTCTATTAATTACTCTATTATACTACTAGTGTTAGACACTCGTGAATTTATTCTTGATTGATGTTCATATGTTCAATACATAAACAGATTTGTCTGCTCTGAAGTTCTCTATGTTAATAAATGAAGAAAAGTGTACTGTCTACTTATGAAAAAAAATCAATGTCTATACAAGGGCATCATTAGGTAGTTGTTGATTTCTTTCAGACACCAAAAACATAGCTTAGTGCTTACATTTATTGATGCCCTAGGGTAACTCTTTTTGGTTATAGCTATAATCATAACCATCAAAGAGAAGTGTACATAATTTTCCCCATAGTTTCAACTCCTATTTTCATTAGAATCATTGCTATAGGGCTTGAAGCTTTTCAGATCATAAAGCTGGCCTCTTAAATCAGAAACAGAAATAATTCTTCTGCAGTATAATATATGCTTCTAGATGTGTTCATCAAAACAAGGAATATAGTTGTTAAAAGGAGATTTTTTTGCTAATTTCATAGTACATTCAAGAGTTATATTTTCCAAAATTATAAGGAAAATTAATTACTTAAAATTGCAGTAGTTGAAAAGCAAATCAAAACTTTTATGAACTGAATGATGTTTTTTCATTGAAGAAATAAAGAAATTACCTGTCTAAGCATTGCCCTTTTCTTTATCATTATTTTTCTATCTATTTCTCAATACTGTGAAGGTAATATATTACAACAGTTAAGTCAAGCATCTCATTTTAAATAAGGGGTTTTATTTGGTAAAATTAGGCAACCTTTTCCTGTGTTTTGCAGTCTTGCTTGTACCTGAGAGTTGATTTGCTATAATGGACTTCTCTTCCACTGGATTGGAGTTGATATGCTGTATGAGTAGTAGTTCCACTGGCATGTTGTTGCAAAATCCAAGGTATCACAATAATTTTTCTGTATCACAGGAACCTAAATTAGCAAAACATATGAAAAATAGTATTTAGAATAACAAGAATTAATTTTGTAGGGAAGACACAATAAAAACTTTAAACAAATAATTTATTAGATAAACATACATTTAGAAACATCTTAAAATTTGGCATAAATAGAAATGGAAGGAAAATAAAAGATAGAAGAAATTTTTATAACTTTATTCCATGTTCCTCACGTATCATGCAACTCATCTTGAAATGGAAAATAAATGAAAACAAAGACAGGAATCCTTACTTAGATAATACTGTGCTCAAACTTATCCATGCTATTAGGAAAATAGTTTCATTTCCCATATATAATAAATTATCTAATATTTTCTCTAATAAATTATCTAATAACTTCATTTATAGCTTTTCATATGTGTTTCTTCATTTATGTTACTATTAATGCCACCATATTCAAGCTTGGTAACATCACCATCATAAAATTTCATATATCTAATGTCATATATAATTTCATATATATAATGTCACTGAACTCTTGCTATAAAGAGTCTTCAAAATATTCACAGAAAATACATATAGTCTAAAAAATATGACTTTTCACCAAAATAAAACCATGTTAGCTTACTATAACATGCATGTATGGACAGTGCAGTTGGAGGCACTAAAAAGAATGAGAAAACAGTTAACAAAACATGAATTCTGCTAAAATTTCAGAAACAGCAAACATCAAATTTACAGTGAAGCAAAGATAGAAGAAATGCAAAATCACTGAGGCCTTACAGAAAAATTATGGGTTTAGTGCTCCCAAAGAAATCATCAGTTTATAAATGGAAAACTCACTTTAAGGAGGGACATGATCATGTTGAAGGAGAAACCCACAACTGCAGACCTCTTAGATCAATGCAGAGCTGGGAAGACATCAACCTTGTTCATGCACTAAATGAAGAGGACTGATGATTGACAGCAGAAGCAGTAGACAACACCATACACATCTCAACGAGTTCAGCTTAGACAAGTCTACCAAAAATTTTAAAGGAGTTAACTATTGCACTCAGATCAACTGCAGACAAGAACAGCACTTTTTTTTTTTTTTAAAGATTTATTTATTTATTTGAAATTCAGAGTCACACAGAGAGAGAAGGAGAGGAGAGAGTGAGAGAGAGAGAGAGAGAGAGAGAGAGAGAGAGAGAGAGAGAGAGGTCTTCTATCTTTTGGTTTACTCCCCAATTGGCTGCATCCCCATTGTGCTGATCTGAAGCCGGGAGCCAGGAACTTCCTCCCGGTCTCCCACATGGGTGCAGGGGCCCAAGGACTTGGGCCATCTCCCACTGCCTTCTCAGGCCACAGCAGAGAGCGGGATTGGAAGAGGAGCAGCCAGGACTTGAACTGGCACCCACATGGGATGCTGGCACTGCAGATGGAGGCCTTACCGGTTAAGCCAAAGTGCCTTCCCCAAGCAGTACTTTCAGTAGACATTTTCAATAGGCAGGACCAAGATATAGACACATTTCTTTAAATAATTATAACAAGAGATGAATCATGGCATTATCAGCGTGATCATGAAAACAAAGCACAAACAAAGCAATGGCTACTGCTGCTTCTTTTCCTATTCAGCTATCTTCTGTTGCCTTGGAAGGCCATGTAAGATGGCCTGGGTCCTTGGGCCCTTGTACCCACATGGGGGACCCAGAGGAAGCTCCTGGCTCCTGGCCTCAGATTGGTACAGCTCCGGCCACTGTGGCCATATGGGGAGTGAACCAGTAGGTGGAGAACCTCTCTCTCTGTCTCTACCTCTTTCTGTAACTCTGTCTTTCAAATAAATAAAATAAATCTTAAAAAAAAGCAATGGCTACCCATAGGTAGCAGTGGTGCAGCGAAAGCAAAATCAAAGAATCATGAGAAAATGGATGGGGATGCTGGAAGTACTTTCCTCATTGACTTTTTGAAGGGCCAAAGTAGAATAACAACTACTGATTATAAGAATATGTTGAGAAAGCCAACATTGTTACAGAAAAATGCCTGGAAAATCTTTGTTCCTCTCATCAGACAAAGACAGCATTATGAGTTTTGATCAGCAATCATTAGGCAAACACTTTCCATGCTGATTTGGCTCCTCTGACTTTCTCACTTCCCAAACTTAAAATATTATTTCAGTTAATAATATAAGAAAGATTACATTGACCTGGTTGAATTTCTAGGACCCCCAGTTCTAAATGGCATATACTGTTGCTTTTAAACATATTTTGAAATTGATTAATTATGTTTGTATTTTTGCTTTTAATTCAATTTTGCACGAACTTTCTGAAGTCCCTTTGTACTTTCAAATTGTCTTCAGGTGGTTATTTTAAAAGCATTTGCTACATGTGTTTGTGCCTATTTGGATCCCTGTATATCCTTATTCTGATGCAGTGTCACTGATTGTCCCCATTCTTTGTATGCTGTTATACAAGGTCAGTGTCTCCAGGCTGTGTTCCTTTTATGTTTTCTTATGTTGTTCCTCAGATAATCTGAAATTTGCCTTTACTTTAGGAACAATACTACTTATTTCCTCCATGAAACTTAAGCAATTGAGCCATCTTTGTTGTGATTATATTTTCTCTGAATTTCTGGAGCCATCAACATTGTAAAATTTGCAACTGGAATTTTATGTTTTCTACATGCTTCATGTACCATATTACAACTCCAAATTAGCTATTAGTTTTAGAACATCATTTTATTCACTTCAAAGGTGTACTGATCACAAATAAATAACTACATATTTAAATAATCATAAAACATTCCAATAATGCACCCATCACAGTAATAACATTTCTGCTAAAATATAGTAGCATATAGCTGAGTTAAAAGGCTTATCAAGTATATCAAGTGTTTACAATTTTTAAAATACCACTCGCTTATAACTCAATACACATTAAATTAGTTACATCCTATTTCTACATTTATTCCAAGTACAAAGTAGCAAAATAGAATCCTGTGTTAAACTTTGAAAATTTTTATTAAGTTGCATATATCCAGAATGTCATTTGCAACAATAATAATAACTTTTAAGTTATCATGTTAATAAAATATCAAGTTCTAAAATTTTGCTTCAAAGGTTTGTGATTCATATATAATTTTGAGAACCTAGTAAGTTGTGGGCCTGCCCACTGCTTTCTTCTTCCCCAGATAGAATGCACATAAGTGCAAAATATATTTCTATATACTTTGTTATGATTTATATTGGAAATTGACTACTTTTCTAGAGCATATGATGTCGATTATAAACATATTCCTATACTTTAAGAGGCTTGAAATGGAAATAATGTCTTCTTAAAATGACATATACAAATTAGACAAGTAAAACCAAAAAAATCATGTTAATCTGGCTTAAAAGTATATCTAAATGAATAGGTTGCTGATATTTAAGTTGAGAACTACATGGGAATTTTGAGTTTGATTTTGAAATGGCAAAGCTCATATCATCTTTAATATCAGTTCAGTTGTTTAACTTTTCATTTTGATGACAATAAAAGTTATAACTAGATTCATAGAGACTCACACAAGTTTGTCAAATCAGAATTCCTACAGCTAAAGCAGCCAAGCAAAGGTTAACCTGTGTCAAGGAATTTTTCATTTTCTTAAGGCTCTTTGAGTCAGATTCATGTTAGATTATTTCCTTTCCTTTCAAATATGACATTATTCATGCTATTCCAGCCAGAAAATACTTAAGTCTACACTTTCATTTAAAAATCTTACAAAAATTGAGTTTCAAGTGATTCTGGCAGTGTTTTTTGATACTTGTAGATTTTTGCCCATTAAGAAACTGGCAGTACTTTGTGATTCCTGATTTCAGATTAGAAAAACACTCCAACTTCTGGGAATTTCAAACACTTGTCCCTGTTGACTCTCGCTTATATTTCTCATTAGCTTTGTAATGTCATCTCAGTCTCCTTCCGTAGCACCAAGGGTGAAGATGTGATGAAGAAAAGGAATGTGTTCATGATATTGCTCACAGGCCCCTCTGATGCATTAAACCCACTGGGCAGTGGGCTTCTCAGATCCTTTTCTATTTAGTGGCAGCATCAGATATAACCCAGGAAAAGATGAGAATTCCTCCCCACCTGTTCTGTTTGTACTTACAGTGACCATCTTAACTGGAGTCCTAGTAGTTTTGTATAGTCATGTAGATACTCTTTATTTGAAGCCTTATTTGCAATTTTATTCTTTCTCTGCTTCTTATAGATCCAAATTGAGATTACATAAATGATATTGCCCATTTCTATCTCACCCGGACCCTTTATCAGTTTGGTTGCATTATAGTTTTTGCTTTTTTGTTTTGGCCCTATTCATCCTTCTGATTACACATATTAAATGTTATGCAACCTCGTTTTCTTCAACTCATTTCTCCATATAAGATTACTGATTCAATTTGCTGTCATAATTTCACTAATTTTGTACAATTTATATCTGAAATATATGTTTATGTGTGTATACTTTTACCTTAAAGGCATTTAATAAGATATAATTTCTTTATCATTATTATACCCTAAAATGGCCCCCAAATCTGTTAATACATGTTTACTTAAATATGTATTACCTACACCTCTTTTTTTTTTTGACAGGCAGAGTTAGACAGTGAGAGAGAGAGAGAGAGAGAGAGAGAGAGAAAGGTCTTCCTTTTCCATTGGTTCACCCCTGAAATGGCCGGTATGGCCGGTGCGCTGCGCTGATCCGAAGCCAGGAGCCAGGTTCCTCCTCCTGGTCTCCCATGCAGGTGCAGGGCCCAAGCACTTGGGCCATCCTCCACTGCCTTCCCGGGCCACAGCAGAGAGCTAGACTGGAAGAGGAGCATAACTCTTGTACGTACTATAAAATTGACAAAAATCTCCTTTTAAATAAAAGCTTTCTTTAATTTCTAACATTCTCTTCTTCTGATAAGCATTTTCCATCAGTGCCCCTAAAAATGCTCTCTGATTCAGCCAAAGATTTTCTGAAGTCTCCATAGAAATGGCAGTTGAAATTGTTTTGAAAGATTTATTTATTTATTTTTAAACTTTTATTTAGTAAATACAATTTTCCAAAGTACAGTTTGTGGATTACAATGGCTTTCCCCCCCCATAACTTCCCTCCCACCTGCAACCCTCCCATCTCCTGCTCCCTCTCCCATTCCATTCACATCAAGATTAATTTTCA